CGGGGACACAGAGAAAACACACACACACACACAGAGAGTTCGGGGGTCTGCGACATTTGAGAGCTTCTTGGAGCTTCAACCCTTCCTAGAGACCAGAGCGGTCCTCCAGAGCCCGAGATCGAACCGCGTTCATGGCGAACCCAAAGTGGCAGCCTGGCAGAGCATCTGAGGGTTCACGGCTCAGGGCTGGAGGTGGCGAGGCCAACATCAAAATGCTCCAATCTTTACAGGCCAACGTGACGGTATCACCTGTGGTCAATCCACCCTACGTTTCGCTGTGATGCCTCAAAACTCGATAGCGCCATGCGACGTGAAGAGCACCCGTGGCATGGTTCTTTCTCTGATTCTCGTTCATTCGCGCTGCTACATGTGCATAATCCCGAGTCGGTGGCCGGCTCCAAAAACTGCACACTGCACATGAGCCGCGTGCACTTCAAACCTTACCTCTTGGGATCCCCTTAAACCCCGAGCAAGGACGAAACAACCAGAGCCTGATTCGGATCTCCTGAGAACTCCATCCCTGGGCCTGGCGCCTTCTGCGGTTTGAGTGTTTGAATCTCAGATCCTTTGAGCAGTCTGTCGGGAACATCGAAGACCACCTGTGCACCACGCGTCCTGCAACATAAACGCCGAAATCTCTCTGACATCTTCAAGGCCTCAAGCAAGGATCGGCACTGCGCTGTAGACTCTTTCCCGAGAGGAGCAGAACCTCATCGACCTCGGTTCTGTGAAGTGTGAGGGTCGAGGCTTGAGGCAAGCTTCGCCAGCTGAGGATATCTACAACTTCGGCGCTCGCCAAAACGATGCTGCGCAGGCACTGCGAACAGGTTTCATTCAGACGGCTTCGTGAGTGGCTCGAAGCCTTCGACCAAGCACCAAAAGCATTAGCACGCTCCAGCCGTTTTTTACTGTTCGAAGCGATGGGGTCAACGCACGCGGGCGCAGCAAAGGTTCTGCCGCACTGCGACGCAGAAGGCCAGCCACCAGTCGCTCTCCGGCGACGGTGCCGCTTCGGTTGAAGCCTGGGCATCGGGATGACTGGGCCCTACAAGTTCGTACAGGTACTGAGTCAGATAATGTGAGCCAAACGAGCTATACCGCAGCTAGATGAGGTTGCTACAGTTAAGCCTAGCGTCCGGAGATCGGGCGTCCACAGGCCAAGAATCAGTGCCCATGGGCATGTCTATCTCCAGGCCAGCCCCATCTGCAGCCTGCCCGTGAGGAATATGAGGAATCTCGGAGGCGGCAGCTGTAGGAGCTGTGCTGAACTCAGACGTCTCCTGCTCGCTCTTTGGCTCGCAGAAGCGTGCGTGCAACATCTGCCAAGCACTGGGCGGCAGCATCCGAAAATCGCCCTGCAAAGAGGCTGCCTGGCTCTCCGGGTTCACGGCCGCATCCTCGCATTCCCCGATTGCTTCCACTGTGACCTCTTCATCGTCTTCTGTGGTGGCACTGCTGCTGCTGCTGCGGCGGAAGATCCCCTTCACCCTCTGCAAGGCGCCGCCCACCAAACCGCGGAAGCTCGTGGGCTTCGGCTGAAAAACCTCCTCAACCTCACCAGAGAGCCCCCGAAGGAGAGCAGGGGGAGGCATGCAAGTCTGAGCCAAACTTAAGAGAGCCCTGTTTGTTGCCTGATTCTTGACTTGCTACAGCTAGGGCCACGAGCCTTGTTCTCCGCTGGCT